TTGATTACTTAACAGGTCAGACTTACTTGATAGTACTTTTATATCCTCTTCATTTCTGATTTTTCTTTCTTATTTTCCTCCTTTATTATTACTATTATTAGTAGTAGTAGTGTTATTATTTTTGTTTTTATTTTTGTTCTTATTATTGCTGTAATAGTTATTATTGTTAATTTTTATTATTATTATTATTATTATTATTATTATTCTTATTATAAGTATTATTGTTTTTGTTATTTTTATTTTTATTTTTATTTTTATTATTGCTGTAATAGTTATCATTGTTAATTTTGTTCTTATTCTTATTATTATTATTTTTATTTTATTATATTTTATTCTTGTTTTTATTTTTATTTTTATTTTATTTTATTTTTATTTTATATTTCTGATTTTCAAAAAAAGTTTGCAGGAGAGGAAGAATAGATGGTGGAGAGTGAAGAGAAAAGTAGGTGGTGAGTGGGTTGTAAAGAAGGTGGAGAGTGAAAAGAAAAGGAGGGGGGGAGTGCCTTTATATAGACAGAAAGGAGATAAGGGATGAGATGTACTGAGAGATAAGTATTTGTATTACAGACAAAACCTACCAGATAGGATATAGGTTTTAGGCCTTATTACTAAATTCTTATCTTTTAAGCCATAGTCCTTCCTTTTATTTTTCTCTAATTAATTCTCTTTTCTTTTATTTTTATTAATTTTTTCCTTCTATTTTTTTTGTTCATTTCTTTACCCATGTATTTCATTATTGTTTACATTTTTTACATTTATGATCAACATCTTTAACTCTGCAGTCTCTTTTCTTTCCTTGTCTTCTTTCCTCCTTTCAATCACTCTTTTTTAATTTGTCTCATATTAGTGTTTAATTTATTTACTGATTGTATTTACAATCGTATATTTTTTACATTTGCACATGGCATGAGTGATTGAAAATACTCTGTAAAGTACAGCTGATAATGGTTTGACAGTCTGAGAGGTACAGGTGGCGCAGAGCTGATCATGGTTTGACATTCTCAGAAGCGCAGGCTGGGCAGATCTGGTCACATCCACACAGTCTCAGAAATATGCGGTGTGATGCATCCTACTGTGCGCCCCCTGCTTATCAGATAGATCGTCCGTCTTGATAAACCACGCAGTACATATAGACACCCTTGGCCCTGCCCATCCTTCCCCGAATCAGACCCTGGTCGCGAGGCCGTGAGCATGCGAGGGCCGTAGCCACAACCTTGGCACGAGTAAGTGGTCATAACGCCATCTGGCCCGCACTCCAGAGATTTGATCAGATTTACAGTCTCTTCCGGCGTTGCGAGATTCTTGAGTTGCGAGAGTGGCGCGGCCGCTTACTATCTTGGCAGCCCTGACAGGTTGGTCGTCCACACCTGTTTCACCTTCTCTCTCTTAATACCATACAGGACCATTGTTCTCTCAATACTACAACCCTGAACAATACCACATATCCGCAACACACCACACATCCACAACACACCACATTCCGTTTTTGCTAAGAGAAGATGAGGGTGATTAAACAGAGGAAGAAGAAAAAGAAAAACACAAAAAAGAGAAGGTAAGAACTAAGAAACTGTTTCAAAGGTACAAACTAATTGAAATTTAATCCACCATTACAATCGGGTCTGCACCATCATGTCTGATATCATGTCCAATCCCATCACCACCCTCCGAGCTGTCGTCACTTCCATCAACATTCTCACCAATATCACTGTGGTCTGTTCCCTCTAATCCTTCACGAACAAACTCCGCTAACTTATCGTCCAGTAGTGTGATCTTTGTCGCTAGAGGGACAATCTTTTCCTTGACTTCGTCTTTCTTTCCGCGTAAGATGTCAAGGTTTAGTCTGATTCGAGAACGTGGATTTTGTGATTTGTCTTCTATCTTTCGTTCCAGCTCATGAAGTTGGTCAAGTAAGTGTTGCTGTCTCTGGATTTGTTCTTCTCGTTTTCGTTGAAGTTTTTTGTATTCGCTGCTAACAATATCTCTCCTCCACCGCCGTAGATCCTCCGCAGTAGCAAAGGATTGTCCATGCATTGGGATCTTTTTATGGGCACAAGGCTGGTCTCGTGCTTTTCGTTTTCGGTCTTCTTCCTTTTGTTGAAGTTGTGCCTCTTCCGTTAAGTGGACCTTTGCATGAGCAAATTGGGCAAAATGGATTAACTTGGTAAGTTTTGCCTTATGGTTCTGAATTTTGGATGGGCTAAGAGAGGGATTGCTGGCTGACTGTAATAGATCGTCTGTTAATCGTTTCAAGGATTTCGGAGTTTTGGGTGTCGTCGGAGTACCAGATGCGGGAGCCTGTAGAGGGGTACTAGAACGCTGTCGTCGGTTTTGATGAAGGAAAGCTTCATTTATAAACCGGAAGTTAGCAGCAGAATCACAGAAAGCAGGTAAGGCTCCTGATTATGATATAGAAAGCAGAAAAGTATACTGACTGGAATGCAAAGGCTTCTTCAAGTTTGAGTCTGGTGGATCATCATACATCAATAAGGGATCGGTATGCCGAACAGGATCATAGGAAGGAACCTTTCGGAGTGCTATATATCGGTCGAGTGGATGGATACCGGTTGTTGCAAAGGCAGATTTAATGTTTTGTACTGTAAAAGCCTTCTCTTGGGCTTGAGATAAAAACTCCCAGAAGTTGGCTTTTGATAACCCATAGCGCCCATAACGAAACTCCTTTTCCAATAGTTGAGCATAATAGTTCTTGTATGGGCTAAAGATGCCCACATCAAGTAGTTGGAGGAGATTAGTACTATGTGGAGGTAGACAGAATGCAATAATGTGATGATCAATACAGTACTGTAAGAATCCATGTGAGACATGAGATTCATGACCATCAAATATTATCATATGATATCTGCCATTGGCCTTCCTGGCTGATAAGCTGTTTGGACCAAAGTGATGTTGTAAGTAACCTAATCCCATCTCATTGTCGGTCCATCCATTTGGTGAAAAGCCACAAAGAACATCTTTTGGAAAGGGTAGCAATGGATCAAACCAGCCAACCCGGAAACCTTCTGCCTTGTAGATAATCATTGGACTCAGATTACCCCCATCTGCACAGATTCCTTCAATTACTGTAGCCATTTCTCGATTGCCATCTAGTTATATATAAGTACTAAAAGATAAAAAATATTTATATTCAATTATATACATACCAAATGATATTAATGCACCATTAAGCCGCAATTCTCTAACATTAACTACCACCTTTTCAGAATGGGTAGCACCCATTAGAAATCCAATTTCATCGAAATTGTATAGATTTTCAGGCAACACATTATGCCAATTCATCAGCTCTGTTAACTGTATATATAAAATTAGAATTAAACTTTTTTAAATATTAGAATAGGATAGCAACTTACACGATCAAAGTACATATTTAATATAGTAGGATTATTGGCTTGAAGCGCCCGGCAATTCTTTATCTGTTTACTGAAAGCACTTGCTAGTTCGTGATGGCACTTAATAAAAGAATAAACCCAGTGGTTTCCTAGAGTTCCTTCAGGTTCCCGCAGTCGTAGTAAACTGCGTGACATTTCTTCTACTACTCCATGCCGAGCAGGCTGAAGCCATGAGCTCAACAAACTACATCGATCCACAACAGCTCTCTCTTCACCTACTGTTAACTTACACTTTTTTTCTATTCCTTCCTTCCGACTTCCCCGGCCTCTTATTGCATGACACAAGGTTGAATAGGCAATCCCACATCCCTCTGCAATCATCTTCCGGTTTGGAGTCAGTCCATCATGTACCTCTCTCTCAATCCAGGTTATTGCCATTTGCTTCTTTTCTTCAAGAGTAAAGATTTCAGGAAGTGTTAAAGGCTTTGAAGGAACGGGCATTGTATTATGAGATGTTAGGTGTAGAGTATCAAAGGTGAGTTGTGGTTTTTTTCTTCCTTAAACATACGGTATTGCAATCTCTTATATCTACTTCTATGATACTTAGACCTTACGCCATCATTAATCATAGTTTGTTTCCTTGTTCTGAGGTCATCAATCCTAGTATAGGTTAAGTGTGGTTCCAAAATTAACCACACCTCCACTTTTCTGCCGCCACTCTCGCAACTCGAGAATCTCGCAACGCCGGAAGAGACTGTACCCCTTCCAGCCGTTTAACTCTTTCTAAGGCATTTTCCCTGTGGCCCTTTTCCCCCGGTATTCCTTCGATAATGGAAGTCATAGAAACTTTCCTTTCCATCCCCTTCATCCTCTAAACATGTCATTGAGCTCACCCCTTGATTGACTTGGAATTCTCTTGGGTAGAAAAGGGCTGAAAAGGATTCCCCCAAAATATCTTCATGTCCGCTTCCTCCTATAACTTTGAATCCCAGTATCTCTGGATCTACTCAATCAGAACACAAATGGCTTGCGTGGGAAAAAATACTAGTCTGCAATCTCCTACGGACTCTAATCCCCGGATCAATCTTTCTGTGAGAACTTCCATTCCGCAATCTCCTACTGTTGCTTCACTGCGAGCAGATTCCTGTCGGCTGGGTTCAATGCAACTGTTGGATATCTTGCTGCCACTGTCAAGGCATATAAGGTTCCGGGAATATTTTGACAGTCCTGCGAGTACGGCTCATAGGGGTTTAGCTTATAGGTCCTTCTATCCCCTGGGTAATCCGTATTGGTATGTCATCTAGTCCATCGTAATCTATATTTCTTGCTGAGCGATTACCCAGGGAAGCTGTTGATATTCATTAGTGAGCGCAACCGGATTATTAGCCCTCGTAGTTCCTTTATTAACCTCGACCCCATAGCAATACTACTGGTGATTTGGAATAGTATATCCAGATGCTATCACTACCGAAGATGGATATCTCGGGATCGAATTCACCGCCCTTAGGAATCACGATTTGGATTTTCGCTTGAGGATGCTGCAGAGTTGGGATAAGATGTTTGTCAAGAGTGAGATTACCGAAGGTGTTTTTCCCGGTTCCTTTTCTACCGAATTCGTTCTGTCGTGGAGTACAACAAACTTTCCCCTTCCTGGGCATGGCGATGTTTCTTGTTTCTGGCCGGGCTACTGGACTATGGGTAACCTGGGTCATCAGGAATACCCTGCTACGACTGAAGGAGTGTGGCCTTACACTTATGATGGATGACAAATGCGATGCCAGTATCACAGCAAATCGCGAGAGTCCTAATGGTATAAGTTTCCTTCTAGGGATGAAAATTCCTGCATTTACAGTGCCTGCGCCTCCGAGGATATCCGAGCCCTAGAAAATCTAAATCTGCCCCAGAACTTGATGCTGTCGAAGCTAGTGCTAGAGCTATCATCAAGATCATTGACTCGGCATCTGTTCAGGTCTCACCCTTCTATCTGTATTATCAACCGGACTATGACTACGTTGCCGTCTATTACCTTGAGGTTACCGCCATGAATGCATATCGTGGTAGGTTCTTCAAGGAAACTATTTTTACTATTTCTGTTGTGAATAACGACTGATACAATGGGAAGCAGTATAAAACTTATGGGTTTGAGTATGAGCCAGGAAGCGAGGGGATGATTGAATGGAATATCGGAGCTTTGGAGACATGGAGTATCAATGCCACTGCAACTGGGCCCAATGGCAATATCGGGCAGCCGAACCCAAATGGACCCAGGGGTGTTGTTGCCAACGTGAGAATGGAATCTTCATTGGCACACATTGACTTTCCTAGGATCAGCGGGGTGCTTCTGCAAGACAAAAGCGGGGAAGGTAACTCTCTCTCTCATTCAACAACTCTCACGCACATGACTAACTAACTAACGGAAATGACAGGAGTAATATATCAACCAAGATAATGCATCCTCCATCCTTCCAGCCATCGCAACACATATCCGCTCACTAGGCACGTCTCCCTTTCCTCTGCAGACTATTCCCATGCTAACAAAGGAAAGATAAAAGAAACAAACACCACAAAGACTCCTGCGGCTGTACCGCTCCCACTGCTCCCATCACTTCCTCCTGTAGCCAGACTGCTTTCGGCAACTTCTGCGCATGCATGCGATCGTGCGGAGAGGGAACGGAACGAACGGACAATAGACCGCAAACCGCGAACGGAAACGAACCGCGAATGGACGGACGGATGAGCGAATGAACGGACGGACGAGCGAATGAATGGACGGACGGTGGACATGAGCACACCGAGCAGCATCATAGTTTCCAACAACGCCGAGCGCCCTGATGGAGAAGGATAAGGCTCAGCCGAGAAAACTGTACGATCTGATCATTGCTACAAACAGAATCCTCCTCATGGAGAAGTCGTTTTTCCGCCGCTAAATCATTGAACAATTCTGGCCGCAGCTAAATCCAAATGGCTGTCCTTTCGATTATCGAAATACGGTAGGCATGCCAATGGGCTTCGAGGCTGTCGCCTACTCCCGCTCTACTATCTTAGAGGACTGCATCCAGGACGGTGGTAAAGCTTTCCAATCCCCCCAACCAAGAATGCCGGTGGCTTCGCCAACTCCCCTATCGGAAAGGAGCCCGGCACTGCAATCGCCCCGTGCACGAACCAAGAACAATGCCCTTGTTCCCCTCTGGCCCCATAGACCACACCAACTGCAAAGACTACTGCCGCTTCTCGCAGCGCTATGAGCGCCCCGGCTATCTGCCGAGACTCATGGATGAGTCATCCAAAAAAAAGGACCATAAAGATCCCGAGTGCTCATATGTCACCTTCCGTCGTGATATTGACCGCCGCGCTGGCACGAAGAACCCGGATTAATCCAACGATAGACGGCTTTGGCATAACCCCCTTCGATAACGAGCCCGATACGCCAATTCGGAGCCCGTACACAATGCAACAACTCTGCAATTATAGTTAGACCCTTCCGCGCGTCATACTCCCACCTATCAAATGCGACTCGCACATTATACTCGACTTATGCACTGCGATGGGCTCCATCGAACGCTGGGTTGTTCCCCAGAGCCTCGGAAAATTGGAGTACAGAGACGCGAGGAAGAGCGGGTGGGGTGATCTCTGGACGGAGAAGTTAGAGGAAGTTTGTGAGTTAGTCAGAGGCGGCAGCAACAAGAAAGCGGAGGCTCCGGCTGAGAGCGGTGATGATGCCGGACTGGCAGAAAGTTTAGACACGAAAAGCCAGCCACCTAATGGAAGAATTTGAGTGTGGCCTACCCATCATTGACTGCTGGAAGGAAGGCGCGATGCAAGACTTCTCTATCCAAGAGACACCAATGACCAGAATGGTCGAGGCCGACCCTTGCGGCTAAAACAGCGAAGTCAGCCACATTGACCAGAGGAAGCTCAGGGGTTCCTCGGCTAACTATCTGAGAATAGGACTAAACTCAACACTATTTCCTAGGAACCAGAAACTTAGGTGAAGAAAGTGGGTGGCCTGGGGTTGAATAATTACCATAAAATGTTAGTATGGGGGGTGAGGAGAGGGGATGCTTGGATTTAGAGTTTCAGCTTTGCTTACTTTTTTGGTTGCAGTATGCTAGCTAGTCAGTAATTCCTGCTGAGCAATATATATAATATACTTTGCCTTTTCGTATTAGACTTTATCTGTTCACAGGGCGCTACTATAATTGCATGAGACTGTTGTATCCGCCATCATGAACGATCACTCGGTAAAATGACTTTTCATACGACGCTCTATTATGTACTTGCGCAGCGCAACTTGGAAGCCAGATGAATTCCGCATTACACTACGGATCTGCTCTACGCTTACCATACAGGTGCGTAGCATCTAGCACCCCTCCATGCTCTTGTTTAAATTATACCTCTATATTGAATCATGTACAGCACAATGCGAACCCTATTTGTTTTTCTTTTCCAATCACCAACCTAGCGGCCTAGCTTACGGCTACCTCCCCCTCCCCCAATGGTGCATGCATGATGTCTAGCAGTACTGATAGCCCCAAACCCATCCTTTCCACTTTCCGCTCTTCCTGTCATATTTCTGCTAGTTTGCCCTACCTTCTCTACCATATGACCCCCTTCCAAACCTTCCCTAGAGACAGCCATTAAGAGTTTATGCTGGTGTGTGATACATTGCACCCTAGCTAAAACAAGGGGCGTGATGGGAAAAATACGGTAAAAGGAATTAAATCTAGTTGAGAGCAAAAGTAGTAACAAGTTCTAAGAGAAGAGTAAAATTGATTTCGCCCGGTGTCAAACTTGAGCAGGGGACCGCCAGTGTGTTAGGCTGGTGTGGCTCCAGTTCCAGAAGGGAGAATGAGTGCTCGGAGCCATGCAAAGCATGATAGTGAGTTGAGAGTGTTCTTATTTATGAGGCATAGCCCTCACGAAATGTTCCTCAGTTAGGGGAGAGGAGTTGATTTTTTTTCAACCGCAAATGGTGTCCGACCAATGACTAACTCGTCATCTCCCTATTTAGGTTTAGGGGGGGGATTTGATCAATTCTTAGGCGGTTTCATGGTGTAGGACCAACTACACCACGAAACCAGCCTGCAAAGAATTGTCTCTTCATGCAATTGAACCGGAAGAATTTGAAGATCCTTAATGAGAATTATTACCATTACATGTACCTAGTATTTAAATGGAGGGGATTGCACTGTGGAAGGGTTTACTTCTCCCCTATTTTTCGCCGCTCCCCCCTTCTGCTACCAATGGTAAAATTCTCTGTCCGAACTAGAAATTAGTGAAGATGTCTCTCTGGCATAAGTACGCCCCCCGATTTCATCCTTGGTTGATTACTAGTTGACAGATTAATTTTCTTTACATATTGTAAGAACCCATTCAGGACCTGTAGCTACAGTGACCTGTACGATTGTCTCTTCTGCATTCATGTTTGCCATGAACTGGACCATACGAAACGAGGTTGGACAACTCCATCAAGGGGTTACGCAGATAAGGGGTTATATCACCAATCTCAAGAATAATATTGCTTGTATCGAGGAGGACCTTGTATGGAAATTGAGGAATACCTGTTTTGACCTTATGGCCGAGATAATGGGAACACAATATACGGCCACTGATCCTCGCCCCCATACCCGCATGCATCTTACAAGGCCTTACAGCACTCCTTCTGACTATGAGGACCTTAAAATCTGAGGTAAGGAGATAGGCTGAGTGATCTGTACTTATTAAGGGAGCTAATTTAGTTTGCAAGCATGTTTAAGGATGGGTGGAAAAAAAAAAAAAGAAGTCTCTAGAATGGTGCTTTTATATTTTATTAAGCTATTAATAGAATGAATTATGGCCTTTGATATTAAGTCTTTTGCCCAATGTGTGTGAGGATGGCAAACAGCAAAATCGTGTGCTTCTTGCTATTATCCGGGTTTTTGCTGTACTAGACACCATGTTGAACTTGAAAGAACCATCAGCCCCTCCTGAATCCAGTGTTCGTAAGTGGCCAGGCCAGCATGCAGATAGCATATGGATACACACACTCCTGCCAGGCTGGGTCCAAGTGAGAGTGACCTGGGCTTCATAGGCCCTGCATTTATAAAGCCTGCAGGTATTCAGGGTATCTAGTGGTGCCCAGGCCGGCAGGCTTTCAGTACATTCCGTGTGATTAGTAAAAGTTTACCAATGAGTATCAGATGGCTGAAGATAGATGATAGCGATCCTGCAGTGGCCAAAGGGGGTTACGAAAGGTTTTGTATCGGAAAAAGGTTTTTGCTGCAGAGGAGGATAACTGTGCTGTAATATACTCATATTTTCGAGAATCTTCAGGGGATTTCGCCCCCCCAGCTGTCCTTCTTCCATCCTTGACTTTCTTCACACTCCACCTCCGAATATTCCTATACCTTCACGGATGATATCCCAAGCAACACGTTTGCTCTCCCCAGTTCTTGACTAGAGTAATTGAGCTCCCGTAACTTACCACTAACCCTCAGAATAGCCTTCCTGCCAACTTTAACCACAGCTGCACCAAACCCGCTTGGCCAATCACTCCTCCAACAACTTTCTCACACACTCCCCACACCGCTACCATCACCCGAGGATGAAAGATCCACTGTGGTGTCAGTCGTAACTCACATGCTTACCCTCCATGTGAACCTCAAATGCGAAGCGCAAACGCAGACAAACACTGAGCGGACCGGGCCACAGTCAGCCACTCCTGCAGAGGCTAGAGTGATAATATGTCAACTAGACCTCGTCGTGCCGGGAGGGATATAGCAGTCCTTGGCCTACGGTCTTGGGATCCCAATCAAACGACTGACTAGCATATGTGCATTGGCCCTGATTGAAATATCGGACAGCAGAGGGGGGGGGGAGGTACGGAAAAAGAAGGATGTGGAGTTATTGGGACTTGTCGTTGGGAGATTGCTGGAGTCGCCCAGGGGAGAGGATGTCGCGGGCGAGGGAGATTTGGTACTGAGGGCGGGCGAGTGGGTTTTGATGGACGTGATCGTCGGGTGTGCTGAATTAGCTTCCAATCCCGAGGAGAGGGATGCCGGGGAAGGGCAGGAGAAGTCTCGGATCTTGATTGACGGGTTCTTCATAATAAAGTCTTCACAGATGGCTTGTCACCTTTTCTAGAACTCGAACACCACAATTTCTCCCGCTCCTCTTCCAACTACTAACTCCCCAAACACCCCCACTCTTCGGTACCCCGCTCGCGAGGACGCTCTTCCTCATTCTGTTCAGACGTCTCAACGCTCTCCGCCATGTAATTGACCTGTTCTTGTCGGCTGACACTCCCGTGGATCCTTCGCCCTCGATACCTCCAAATTTGTCCATTGAGGCGCTGGGTAAGGAGTCCAAGATTGTATGCACTGTACGCAGCTCGGCGAATGCGGTGGAGTACTTTTGTAAAGTCTGCGCTGAACTGCTGGAGCTTTTGGATTCGGTGGATGTGCTGATTCTGTGAGCGGTGCGTTTCTTAATAGTGGATATACTAGGGAGGAAAGGGAGGGTGATTGAGGAGATGGTAGAGATGGTGCTGATCGTACCATCGATATCAAGGTTTGATCTGCGTATTTCGGCGTGGTTGAAGGAGGAGGTGATTGTTCTCAAAAAGGTAGACGAGGCGCAGAAGAAATCTCCCCCAGCACCACTAGCCCCGGAAGACCAAAGCGACGACATCAGAAGCCCCACCTCGAAAGCCCCTGGTTGCCGAGATGGAAGATGACACAGCCAAAGACCACACCAAACCCCTAGTTTCAGAAATAGGCGTGACGAGCGCTTTTCACCACCTACAAATCCTCCTATCTTCCCAGCCCTCTCCTACACTGCCGTAAAGACTCATGTCCCCAATAGCACTCCCCCTCTGGGCGCTAACCAACTTTGCAAAGTAGACCGGGAGAAGAACCTGGCGCGGATGTACCCTCGTGCTACTCAAAGCGTACAGGAAGACGCCCCCCCCGCGACCAATCCGCCCTTCACAGGATTCAAGCGCGGATAGTCAATTCTAGCGGGGAGGCATGGGACTTTGGACCTGGGAGTGAGGGTGGGATCGAGATCCGGTGTCAAATTGAGGGCGCTGCGGGGTTTGATGTGGGAAAGGCTGAGGCTAGTATTTAGTAATTCTTGGGGCTTTTGGAATGGTGGGGTTAGTGGTGATGTCTATGATGACTTGTTCCTGGAGAACTTGAGGACTTGGCTCGGTCGACGGAACACCAAGGGTACGGATCCGATCAAGATGTTTGCCGCGCTCAACATCTTGCACGAGGTGTTGTGTGGGCGGGAGGAGACGGTTATCACTAAGAATCCTACGGAAGTGTTACGGATTGTCGCGGGGGGTGTTAGATAAGCATATGAATTATCTGGACGGCTTAGACGCTCCTAGGAGAGACATTGCCACACCAAGTTTGAAAGGTGTTGGGAAGATTACCCCCGATTCGTCTATGCCCGGCTCAAGACTAAGCGGTGTGGAAGATGAGCTTCACGAAGAAGAGCGCACCCAACCCTTAGCAATGACCGTCTCCCTGTTGAGTGCGATAATCTCCCGCCCAACCACAAAACTAACACCCACGGACGAGCGTCTACAACAAGGAGAGTGAGAGACACGCCCACCCACCACTACTTCCCAAGGTGGAGGACAAACACCGCAGACCGACAATCAATAAAACAACATTTCTTATCCATTTAAATCCGGTTCTCTTTCCCTCAGTTTTCTTCTACATTTGTCTCCTTGTTGTTAGGTGAACCTTTCCTATCAGGTTCCTGCATGCTATTTCACAACATGTCACGCGGTAGAGATCCCGCCTTTCCACAGTCGTTGGGTTGGTCGGTCACAGCACCCAAATCCCGGGAGTCAACAGTGACACTTCCACCCCTGTCTTTGCCCCATCTGATCCGGGCACGGCAGTCATTGGGCGCACCGCTTCAGGGCTCCCCAGACCACTGCAAACGCTGATTGTGGTGCCGAACTGTTCCATAGTGTTTGCAAGATAAGCGGTACCATGTGATGTTACTAGTAGTTCTGTGCCAAGGGAGTTTTGGCCGGGGTCAATTACCTGGAATTGCATTTGACATTTTCTTCCAGTAGTTTACGTACTGTTTTTTTCACCCCCAGAAAAAAAAAAAATATGCATGCACGATTATACGCCGTTTCTTGCTTTCTTTTCCTGTCCATTCCTATTTCCGCTATCCTCCATTTCCCCTTTGAGCCGAGTCCGATCCCCCTCCCCCCCCCTGGAGCGCTGTAAAAGGGGGGATTTAGCTGGTTTGGAGCAAAGGCCTCTAGGATAACAAGAGAGGAATCGCTTCCTAGGCTTAGCCCAACCATTTTCTAGGGATTTAGCATGAGTTTCGTGAAGGTTGATTATTATCTCA